TTTTTTACTCTAATATTTACCGTAAAGAAAATATTTGATCAATAGTCGACGATTCCGTCGAAATCCGCAATGGTAGTCTCCAATAATTTCCTCGGCGTATTCCGTGATTCTACTAGTTGATATTAAAGTGAATATTTTATAACATACCGATAGGAGTGAAATTCCTCGATGTCTAATAATAAATCTATAATATAACCAATGTAGTATACACAACTGACAGGTTAAAAATCTGAAAAGAATTGTACCAATCTACTAGTTGACGCGTTTTTTACTGTCTTATGTGAAAATTCTTCTTTAAAGCTACGACTAGAGTGGCTCCGTGGGTAAAAGCATAACCTTTCGGACACAGGTTTCAAACCGGCGCCATGACAAAAAATTTATTTATATCACGTTCAGACTTCAAGGGCCAATCAAGGTTGGCAAACTTCGCTGGGCTGCATACATCGCCAGAATGAAAAAAGATCAAATCCCAACGAATCTCCTGAACGAAATGATTCATACTAACAGAAGAGTGAGAAGATCTAGACTGAGATGGGAAGATGGATTCGCTAGAACTGCTGTGACTATATCAGATAACCACAACTGTAGAGCGGCAACTCTCATTGAGATATATGGCCGCCTAAACTACAAGAGGTCTTAACTCTTCATGAGTCGTAGTAGCGCCATCGCCATGGATAGATGTAGTTGTAGATCAACGTTGTGGAAGGATTGAATGCAGTTCAGAGAACCTATTTCTTTGGGCCGATAAGACCACTTAGTTCAAATGCACGGTCCTAGAACTGCACTTACTAGCCTAGTACTAAACTTTAACCATTCTTAGTCTACTATACATGAAAAATCTCACTATTAACTCAGGAATAGTTTCTGATACCTTATTCTGAAAGTTTACATTAGGCGCGTAAAGCGTGTATTTAGTGTCTCGCCATCCAGTCCATTATCCACTGCCACTAGCGGATCCAGGATTTAATTTTTGGGGGGAGAGGGGACTTTAGCCCGAAAGCTTTTTTTTTTCAAATATATAACGATAATTAATTTGAAAAAAAAAAAAGAAAGAAACTATCTACCTCTATATGACTTGGTGTTTTAAGTGATTCCTTAAGTGATAGTCCTATTAAATGTAATCACACGAACAATGATACTTTAAGAGATAGTTTTTAATATTTTGTTTTATAAAATATGGTTTTACCACATCTTTTACCATTTTGGGAGAGGGGGCTCAGCCCGAAAGGCCTTCCCGTAAATCGCGCGTGTCCACTTTTTTTTTTTAAACCATGCCGTAGGATGTTAATGAAATCAAGAATAGAAATTAATAATCCGAAGGCAATAACTAAAGAGCAACTTGAATAAACAACTAACTAATATCTTATTAACTCTTTCAAGTTTAGACGATAAGCTAGTCCGTTCAATCTTTTAACTATAAACAGCACAAGGCTGTTAAAATTATGTTGCTTTTTTTTATTAGAAAACCTTTAGTTTTTACCCTTTTTCAAAAACATGGCACACATCCTTCGGTTCTCATGTTTCTTGTAACACGTAAAGATCCATCAACCACTTTCTTTTTAATCATTAATGGACGTCAAGCATTCATATTATCAGATTGATATAAGATGAACTTGAATTTTCTTGTGAAATATTCGTCAAGTCGGTAAAAGACGAGCACATCTTTGAGTCAGTGCAGTAACTGTGACTGAAGTACTAAATTAAGGACCTAGAATGTGATGGTCTTACAAGTAATCTATAAAAATTCGTATGTTTTGCCAGCAATCAAAATATATGAAGGCTACGTCAAAGTTTCTTTCAGGGTTCGAATTATATTTAGAATAAAAGCAATAAAATAAAATTAACAAAACGCAAACATGTTACAATTTGAAATTGTAAACTGTGCAATTACAAAATTATTTATTTGCACGCATAAATAAATTATCAAGGTTATCAACGTGAATAAAATCAAGAACAATACATGACACTTGTTTATTTCAACTCCGTCAAACACATTTTTTTTAAATATCTCTATTACACAGTTAAAATAACAATTCGATTGAATCGGTCGTCCGTAAAAACTAAAATACATATTTCATCATATAAATCATATTTTATTAATGAATTGTTAATTACGAATAGAAATGTAAGTAGTTTGTAAAAGATTTTATTATTTTTATTCTACTAATTACAACAATAAATTATGATTGCTAATTAATAAAAAATACCTTATATTTTCATTATGCAAAAGTAATAAGTTTATATTAAATTCCCCAACTTTGATTATAAGACAGTCATATCATTTCAGTATTTTTTTTTCACTTTTTTTTAATAATATTAATTCATTATATTTTAAGTAATGATCTAAAATATATTTTAAATGCAAACGATGGTTGCAATTGCACTAACTTATGAATTTGTGTCATTGTATGACTTTATATTTAATCTTACATCACTATTATCGCTGCCCAGGATTGAAATATAATATATTATTTAATAAAATAAAAAATACTTATATTAGGCCTGCTGGATGAAATTCCTATAAACTATAAAGCAAACTCCTCCTGAATAAAAGTACTTTTATAAAATCGTGTGAATAAAAAAAGTTATGCGGCTATTAAGAGATGAACATTCCTTGTGAATCACGGGTTGAAATTCGAAAATTGGACTTCAAAATCTGGTGCAACGCGCACATTTTTATGTTGAAATGCGTATTTACAGACAAGGGGATGGGAAAGTAAAAATTACAGAAGGTACAAAATATTATTTAAAATAATTAATTTCTGTAGAATATATTATATTTATAAAGGAAGGAGATGGTCCGGGGTTGCGGTCATAAATAGGCTAAATAGTGGTAAAACTATTTTATTGAAAGCCGACGTTTCGACCGACTTTGCAGGTCTTCTTCAGGGCTAGAACGGACAAGATACAAAAAGATAAAGAATTGTGGCAGTTACATAATATTTATACAAAATTTATAAACAATGTGAATAAGCTTATTTGTTTATAAATTTTGTCTAAATATTATGTAACTGCCACAATCCTCTATCTTTTTGTATCTTGTCCGTTCTAGCACTGAAGAAGACCTGCAAAGTCGGGTCGAAACGTCGGCTCTCAATAAAATAGTTTTACCACTATTTAGCCTATTTAGGACCGCCACCCTCGACTATCTCCTTCCTTTATAATGCAAAGGTCAACTATTAAATATTCAATATTATATTTATGTTGTTTGTAATTTGTCACTTATCATTGCCTTTTACAACTGTATATTTAAATTATTAAAATTAGGTTATAATAAATAGTTATCTGTCTCGAAATAAAAACGTGTAAAATCGATTATATAAAATGGAACTTTCAGTTACCCGATTTTGACGAACTTGCTGTTAACACCTCAGGCATATACAAACCTTAAATGTGCAATTTCACTTTTCGTTTTGGGGTGTTGAGGCATTGTCACTTTAGTAACTTCAAATCAAGCGGCGCCGATTCGAGTCCGGACAAGAGGAAATTCAATTCGTGATAAGATTCACGGAATGAATCTCTACCTTTCGACAATTATTAGACTAGGTTAGGTAGAATATCCCTCTCTCTCTCTCTCCCCATAAAACAGAAATGGCCCAGGAGGGGAATAAAGGAAAACAATAAAAAAGGTCTTATGAATTAAATTTAAAAAATCAATTTTCAACTTCAATGAAATATTAACTGTTTTTTCCCGTAATTATGAATTCAAAATTATTGGATACTAGTTGGCCCGTGCGAATAATTCGCAGAAAATTTTGTTAGGTGAAGAAATAACATAACAATATGGAAATAAATTGATCCTATGTAATATATGAGGAAGGAATTAATATTTTTTCCTTGGTCGATTACAATATTCCATTTAACATAATAGAACAAAATACTTGTACAAATTGCTTTGCTAGGACATATTTTTAACAGTGTGATTGAACTGTTTTTAAAACTGGTGACTGGAGAAATAATAAAGTTAATATATCTGCAAGGAAAAAAGGTGTAGTCGACTATTCCACTCTTTAAATATTTTTAAAGAGGAAGACATTATTAAGTATATCAAAACTTATGGACTGTATCTTTGTTAACAATTGTCTGATTTTTACGTGTTTTTTTTTTTTTTTGTTTTGCAGATAATTTAGTAATCTTTCTAATTATCATGGGTACAATTAAGAAAAATATGCATACTTTTTGAGTTATTAAAGTTATTTGTGAGTTAAAGTTTATTTTCCTTCATAACTTTTTTTCCCAGAAATTTCGGGAGGATAGGACTATTTTTCGCATGTGAAGGAGAATAATATCTTCAAAATGAGTGGTCAATCATTGGATTTGATGAAGAATTGACGAAGTTATGGCGTACCGACAAAAAAACACCTTTTACAAATAATATATAGGATTGAATGCAGAAAGAATTCGTTTGTTTTTTTTGTTTTTTTAAGAATATGAGAAGATGAAAGTTGAAAAAATGTAATTACCAATAGGTCTCTGAAACTCTTAATTTTTTAATTATGTAAGGACCAGCAACATTCTCATGTTATTTCTTAAATGATAATAATATACTAAACAAGATGGTCAGTGCGATTAATTCGCTGAATCTATGCGTCCAAATATACAGAAATAAATAAACGCGATACACAACCAAAGAGATTTTTTTTTCTTCAGTCGTGAACAATGAAATTTGAAAATAATAAAATAAAATGAGCAAAAATTCCAATCAGCTATGTACTTGTTAATAATGGTCCAATTACGATTTTTGGTGGCGTAATGAATTAAAAATAATAATACAATTCAAATTATCATGAATATTATCGACCATAAATAATATAGTTTTTAAATTATACGAAATGCGCTGCTTTTTCTAGGAATCTTCTTGGTTTTCCAAATTACAGATGATGGAAATCATAAAAATTATTATATAGATTTGATGAAGTATTAACGTGTAACACAAAAGAGGGCCTTTGCCCATAATATATAAATATTTAAATAAAGATAAAAATAAAAGCTGACTTACCTTAGTAACCACAGGACACTAAGTAATCGCCTAACTTTTCCACTACGGATGCCGCTTGCTGGGGTTGAATGGGGTCTTCATATAACGATACTACCACCGCTAAAAAATAAATAAATAACATTAAAATTCCAATAACATGAATAGTTATTAACATGGTAGATATTTTAAAAGGCAAAATAAAATAGTACCGGAGCCAGTTTTATTACTTGAAACCGGTTAAAGCTTCTAAAAAACCTTCATGGATTCATGGCGTCCTTCTAAATTACATATTCGTTTTTCTTTTACAGAAAAACCAGATGCAGTTATAATAATTAAATTACAAATAAAAGAACTACATGATTTAACTGTAAACCGTTTGACAATCGTATAGTGAATATTTAAAAAAACAAAAGTGGTCAAACATCCAATATGTCAACAAATAAATTATTACTTATCAAATAAGCAATACGAGTGCTACTGAATTATTTATTAATTTATGCAGGTTTGTCTTATATTAAATTCGACCTGAATGAGTTCAATTACACATCTCTAATCGCCATACATATTATTAACAAAAACAAATTATTAATTGGGACAAGGACGAACCAAATAAATTAACTTATGAAAACCATCGAATAAATATACAAACAGTAGAACCAAAAAGGTGAAGTAAAGACGGTCTTCCATACCGAAGGTCACCGAATTAGGTGACCCAAATTCCCGACAGACAAATCCTGCCTCGAAGTATCTCCTCCTCACCTTTCTCTTTATAATATCCCATCCAGGAGGTACCCACAAGGTAAAACCAGAACTGACCAACATGCTTCGGAGGGATGGCTATACTGCATCACAGAACGTTCGTTGTTATTTAACATTAAAAATATTATTAGTATCTGTTGAAAATATTGGATTTTGAATAGACAGAGAATACTTTAAAAGCTAGGCCTTCTCAACCTTATATGTATCTCGGGTGTAAACAAATTTTTAAAAAATTCTGCTAAGTAAGGTCGGTATAGCTTCCTCACCGCTTTCGTTGGCTATAAAATATTTTTATTACAATAACAATTTTTTCGTAAGAGAATAAAATCTCTGGAAGAAGCAGTTTTCGGAAATTCAGTAATTTCTCAACATATGTGTTTGATATCCACGAGTTTTGTTCATCAGCGAATACTAAAATGAGAGTTCCGTATTTACAGATTGCATATTTGATAATTAGTGATTAATACGAAAAATTCCAGGGCATACTGAACATGCATATCTGTTAGTCTGCTAGTGCAAAAAGGCATATGTAAAAATTAAGTGTTTTACAGAAGAATATAAAAACAAATAATTCTTCATGATTTATTAGTATAATTTCATATTTTATTATTGCCCTCTAATATTTTCCACTGTAGCAGACCAGACTACTTATAACAGTTATAGACAACAAAATGTCAAAAATAGAATACAATTTAAGATTTGTACATACCACTTTTTGCACTAACACTAATTATATGAACTTACGTTTTCACACGTAAAATGGATGGAACAAAAAATCCATAGGAATAATTCAATTTTTTCTTTGTTCGGAGTTAACGAGACCAATACTTATCTTCAGTCAGAACAAAACTAATTTAAGATAGAATATAAAAATATAAGTGAAGTTCTCACCAACTTTTATGTTTAAGGATGAAATCGACACCACGACGGGCTGACCTGGTTGAACTTCAATAGAAATAAACACAATCATAAATACGACAACTTTTTTTAACTTTCCTACCTATACTAGGTAAGGAAAGTATTGCGATCGGGTCTTATTTCCGATATGCGTATTATAGTATATATTCAATGGTAAAATTTATAATACAACTTTTGAAAGGTGATTAAATTACCGATAAAACAAACAAAAAAATCATCGGAATCGAACTGTTATAGTATTAGAGATGATACAGCTTATTCTATTTTCTACATATGTTTTAATTGATTACTTTCCTACCTATACTAGGTAAGGAAAGTATTGCGATCGAGTCAAATTTCCGATATGCGGTTTTCGATGGACCTATACGTTACTTGGGAAATGGAAATTCCCTTCAAATTTATACAAAAATCCTTTATTTCGGACAACTATTAACGAAATTGCAGCTATTCAATTACCAATGTAAGATTACGGGTTAATATCATATCAGAAATGGGTGAATGAGACAAAAATGATGACTAAGTGAAAGTAAGAAAATCTGTTGCCCGCATCAAACAAGCTTAACTATTTCATCTTTTTTTAACAGAAATAATTTTTTGAAAAAATTAGGCTATGGCAAAACGTTTTTGATCAGCAATATTAGAGGGTATTGAATTTTTTACACTGATATACCTTTTAATCCGGTTTACATTGCTTTAGTTTATTAAATAAATCTTACTCAAATATTTTCTTTGATCAATTTACAGGAAAATAAATCTAATTCAAGTTTTTTTTTTTGTTTCTTGATGGACATATGTAAAAATATAAAATCTTCTCTGAAATAGCTTTGAAAGTCGTATGAGTGGACACACCAGATTCTATAATACAAACTTAAGAGTAAGAATTAATTTAAATTTATTGAAAATTACACGAAACCTAATAAAAAATATTCAATAAAGAACGTGACCGCCTTAAAACAAAATTGGTCGTAACTCCTTTTCCGTTCGAAATCGGTCCGTGCATCAAATGAACTTTTTTGTTGGAAATTTTGTCTAGAATCACCCTTTCGTCAACCCCCACCCCTCCAGAATTTGGCCATTAGAACAGAGACACCCTGTATACTGAATAAATTCTTAATACAATAACTTATCGGAGCAGTAATAAGAGTCAAATGTGTTTTATCGTTATTATTTAAAGTTGTAATCATTTTTAAATAATGAACTTGGAATTAACCATTGCCAAAAAGGAATTTACCTTTTCTAAAAGAATACTATTTCAATAGTTCTTCCTGATATTTAAGAATGGAAAAAATAATATTGTCGTTGGTTAAAATTTACTATCGTAAAATATATGTTGACTAGAATATTAACTAGAAGAAAATAATTCAAATTCTAATATTGTTTTAAAATAATTATAAGGAATTTATTTTTATTGCTACTAAAAATATATGATAACACTCTATTTCTTTTAACATTATTTAAATATGATTTAAAAGATTATTTAGGATTTAAGACTAAGGTAAACCATCTCTGAAAGGAGTTTTAAGTATGCGTCATACCGGCTGTAACGGTCAACTACGGCGTTCTTATCAGTGAATGTGATATCTCGACTTTGAAAATTGTTTAGCTTTTGAACTGGTGACCGTAGAATATTCTACTTTTTATCTAAATTTTTGTAATACATTTTGAATAATAAAAATAGAAAAAATAAAAACAAGCGTATATCCCACTTTGAAAGCAAATGTGAATCTGAAGTACTCTTTAATTTCACATCGTCATCGAGAAAGTATTTTTGAATTAATAATTTGAAATTACCTATAATTTTTCATAAAAAAAAACTTCACTACTGGATTTATTTTATAATTGGCAATAAGATAATTATAAAATTTTTTATCTGTATCTTTATTGATGAAAAAGGTTAAGCGAACCATGAGGTTCGATGCCGACACCACCAACCCCTTATTACACACCTCCCACCTCCCTCCACCGTTCGCCGTCCAAACCCAATCCCTTCAGATCGGCTTTAATGCAATCTTCCCACCTTCGCTTCGGTCTACCTCTCGGACCTTTACCATTTGGTACAGCAAATATCAACCTTTTAGGAATTCTTTCGTTACTAAACACAACATAGTCAATACATTAAACTACTATAATATTAATAGTAAGTTTCCGAATTTCTTCGAATAACATTCTCCAATGTGATTGAAGCGCACACTCATAGAGATTGAATCACAACTCATATAAAAGGTAAGATAGGAATTTCAAAAAAATAAAGTTAATAAAAATTTCATGAAATTAAACGAAAAGTGATATCGCAGTGGTTAGGAAAAAGTCTTATAAAATTAACAAGGATTATTTCATATAAATGACATGGTCACTTTTTCTTATAAAGTACTAGCGAGTAAAATCAGTTTCAATGATCTGTAATGAACACTTAAATCGTTTGAAGAACTTATTATTTCAAAGTCAATAAAATATAAACCGAAAAACCAAAGTGAATTAGTCACTTAAACAACTCTTGCGCATCTGAATACAAGGAGATAAGAAATGAAGCAGTGGGAGACGGAACTGAGCTGTGGTTAATTTAATGGGTGTCACGAGAAGAGGGGAAAGTTAGGGAGGGGATTGGAAGGGGAGCTCCCGGAAAGTCCGGTATGGTAAGAATGGCGTCGCTCTTCTTGGAATGCTGAAGTTAGTTTCAGTAGAATTATCTCTTTAAAACGAGAGGATACGGACAACAATCAAGAAAAGGATAGGTGTAAAATTAATTTAGAGATAGTCCAAGAAGAAACAAATTTTTATGGTATCAAAACGTTGTTAAAATTATTATCCAAAAAGGTTAAACAAATCTGTATTTTCCGACAATACTTTATCTATTCATTATTCAAGCAATTTAGGGTTCCTCTGTCAGATCTTTAGGCCATTTGCCAATCACATCCTTCAAACCACAAGTTTGTTTTTCTGGATTTGAGATCCTGAAACGAAATAATGAACGAAAGGTATGTAACGGAGGAAAATTGAATTAAAATTGAATAACAAAATTATTTTTATATTAGTTATATTGTTCTAATAAATAAAGAAACCATTTTATATTTTTTACATAATGATTTTTTTGTTAGATACACTCCAAGAACAGAAAAAAATCTGATAATGCGTGCAGTTCTTTCACTAACCAATTTGATTAAATAATCAAATTTCTGATCAAATATGGATAGTTAACGCTTGATTATTACAATCTGTAATTGGGTCAAAAGTTATAAAACAGAATTTTGTTGATCGTCAATTGAGTTCGTCGGCGACCTGGAAAAGCATATTTCCTTTTTTTTCTAAGTTAACTAATTAAAAAATTACTTCAAGTTAATATTTATTGATATTTCGTTAGTAATAACGATAGATGGCTAATTATTTTAAATATAAACAAAATTGAAGGTACTTTAGAGGAAGAACATCCAAAGAAGGATCCTAAATAAGTTATTTCAGTTTCTTACCAATTTTCTTTTTTGAGCTAGGTAGTTAACATATATAGAGACTTCAATACTAAGACAGACGCAGCGTTAAAATATGTATACCGTTAAAATCTTCAAACGTTTAACGATCTCAATACTCTTTCTTATTACATACTTCATATATATAAGAAGTGAACGAAACAAATAAATAAAATTAAACTGAACGAAACAAATGCATGAAATTAAACTGAACGAACTAAATTAGAATTTTACAATCATTTTACAAAAAAAAAATTAAATGCAAATTTTAAAACTACACCTATCCTAACAATTGTGGAGTTGTACAACATGATATATCAGATATAGGAATCGACTTTAAAACAGTTTTGGTGAGTCAATTAGGGGATGTTAATTCGGGTACTGGGATGAGTAAATACCAAATTAGTGTTTTAAACAGTTAAATTTTACTTACAATAAATATAATACTAAAATATTATAAATAACTGGATAAATTCAAGATTCTGATATTTCAACTCCGAAATAGAGTATGAGATGAGGCCGTGACCTTCATTCGGATCAATATTAGATAGAGCAAATTTATTTATTTGGTTGCCTCTACCCTTATTAAGGTTAACTGGCAAAATCGCAATACAATATATTCTATTGTTAGAGTACCTTTCTTCAAAAACTCCATCAGTTTTGATAAAGCGTATTTAATCCTGTCAAACTAGATCAGGTAAAGGTTAAAGGTAGATAGAGAAAATTTTGTTCCTAGCCGTAAATTTTAGTATACCCTAGTTTTATGACTATCAGAACACGTATTGAAGCTTCACTGACAGAACTTGACCGGAACTTTGCTTTTATTTTATTGGAAAAAATAGAAAAGCTTTAACACTTTTTTATTTATTTTTCACCTATACCTCGAAAACTATTGGCTTTTTGGAAACGGACACTCTGTCCAAAATTTAAATAAATAAAATTGTGTACATTTTATGTCGCAGGAGTTTTTCTCTACGATTAATCATTCGGCCATTGAAGTGCGATAGTAAAATGGACCTAATTCTTAAAATGGCAAAAACACCCGATTTCCATGGTTGACGATCATTCTGCTACAAGTTTCCGTCGACCATTTGCGCTTTTGAACTTCATAAAATACATTAAACAAGAGTACATGAAAGGTACATTCATATTTTGTATATTTTAAAAATTGTGGCTATTATACTGACTGTAAGACAGGCCCAACACATTTACCTTTTTTTTTTTATCTCTTTATTTGGGTATAGAAAATTCTGATAAGCGATAGTAATTCTATAATTTTTAAAGGAGATTAATAGTCAGGACGCAATTATTTCAAGATATTTATTAACAATTAAAATCATATAATAATAATAAAAATATCAAAATGACTGCGCCCCGACTATTTATCACCCATGAAATATATAACAGTTGACTAACTTCCTTCCATGATTTTGATACATGTCAAGTACCAAAATCGAACCTGTGTAAAATTTCATTAAAAAATAAATAAGCTAAACATGTAAGGAGTGATGACGTGCGAGTGGTATCCCAAGCCAGCAAACTCCTATGTAAGCATACCCTTCATATTCTATAAGGGTTTTGAACAACGTTATAATATAGCTAATGTTTACCATGAATGCGTAGTAAGAGAAAAAAGTAAATGAGAACCAAATCGACCTCAGTGAAAGAAGAGGCTACGGCTACTGTTTGATAGGATAGCGGATTTTTTTTTTTTTTTTTTAAAGAAATAGAACTAACGATCGGCCTTCTTAGTTGCCGTGTATTAAAATAGTAGATTTACAAAAGTTTTTTTTCGGAATTTTTCATCAAAAAAAAAAAAAAAAAAAAAAAAAAAAAAAAAAGACAAGAAGATAAATTTCCTTATGTTTGGTGGCTCCTTTAACAAGGCACTTAAAGACTTAGCAGTTGATTGTAGGGAAAAACTTAATAGACATAAAACGTATACAATTTTGTTTATTTTAATTTTATATTCAGTGTTATTTAAAAAACAACAACAATAGTTCTTACATTTCCCCCAAAAAAACAAGGTTTGCCAACCTGTACGTGGCGTGTTCAGTGATCCGATTAAGTAGGGAATATGAAAATTCACAAGAACAAAACTTTCCTAATTTTTTCTATTCTGATTAAACTATTATATTTTTCAAGCTCGTTTTATGTTTAGTTCCTTCTAAAGTTCGAAAACATCGGATATTTTACGAGGATTATGTTTGACAGTTCAACACAGGAGCCTTAAGACCTTACAGAAGGTAAGCGTGCAAAGATCGCTTTATCTGCGACACCGAACGATATTGTAAATTCTAATTAGTACGATCGATAACTAGAATACGCAATACGGCCATTAATGCAAAAGTTTTTTGGTATAGTTTAAAAAAAAAAAGAAAGTTATTGTGAAATCGCATTTAAAAAACAATATTGAATTACAAATTTAATTGTATAATGGAATCAACACAAAACAATAATGTCAACATTATCTGGTGAACATTGATGTCTCATAAATTGAGTAGAAGTATAAACACCTCTATTTTGGTAACAGCGATAAACAAAAAAACTAACAATGAAAAGCATTTACATTTCTCTCAACTACTTGTTTTTAGTTAAACTTAATGGTTAAAACCATTTTAAGTTTCAAATACGCAGCAGTATAACACAGAATGTATACTCAGTGGAACCGGGATTTGGATATAATTAATACTGAATATTGTACTAACAGCCATTATCAGTCATATCAAATAATAATATTTGTAAAATTTCTTCCATGCAAACTTGCGGTTGAAATGCTTTATTCAAGAAAATTGTGAGCTTTTAACTGTTTAATTATGTCTAAATGTTTAATAAATAAAAAATATATAATAAAATAAATGTTTGAAACTACTGTTTTAATTTGATGAAACTTAAAGAATACAATTTATTTAATAACTTTTTTTTATGATAGAAATGATAAATTCTAAATACCTCAGCTAGTTTTTAAAATATATTATATTAAATATATATGTATATATATATTACAATGTGTTTTTACAATTCGATCTTTATATATTATAACTTAAGATATGTATTATAATCGGATAATAGGTCATGAAATACCTAAAATATAAATAAAAAATATTTCATGACCTATTATCCGATTATAATACATATTTTAAGTTATTATACATATATAATCTATAATAATATATAAGCTTCCATACAGGTCATAACAAGTTGTAAAAGACAATTTTTTTTTTTAAACTGTGATACCTAAAAATGTGATAGTAAATTTTTTAAAAATTGCCAATAATGAAAGTATCATTTTTAGAAATTAACTACAGTGAATAGGGAAAGGGAATCAAAGTAAAACTTATGAGAAATAATTAAATCCTAATTATTGCCAACTTAGTAGCCAAATTTTTAAAAATGATAAAATAAAAATTGGAAATATTAATAATAAAAAACACACCATTATTAAATTCAAATTTCAGTAAAATAGTAGTCAGTTTGGGGTGTGATGATGTAACATTAATCTATCTTAATTAGTGATAAGAATTTCTAAAAGTGATAAATGAAAGCAGAACAAATTAGAACTAATGAGTCAAGAAGTTGGGTCATGTTTTTAACATGAATTATAGTTTAGGGAAAATTAAAATTTAGTATTAAATGTGTAAGAGGTTAAGTAAAAAAAAAAATTTAGCTTAACCAAAACAAATATAGTCAAATCATTAATGCAACATATAATTAATAGTTTGCGCCATACACTATAATGAAATCCTTGCTGCTTCTAAAATAATTTAAAGATAAAATTGCAATGTTAAAATATATTATTTATATTAACAGGAAAATAAAACAAAATAAATTATTGTCATTATTATTTATTTGAGATATTCCGGGCACTCGTACATTAACAATAATTTCTAAAACAAATTCTTACTATTAAGAAATGGTCCAATATATTAGAAAGCTAGATTCATTCATTCTAGCTGTTTTAGATAACCATGATGCAAAAATTTACAAAATTTAAGAGGGCTTTTAAAAACCTCTAACTCCATAGCTGTTAAGACTGCGTATAACTATTATATCAACACATCTAATTAAATACTTTCTTCATGTCCGATTCGGATTTTGCAATCAATAACACAGAAAATTTGTAATAAAAAAAGTATTGGGATCACAAAATAACCTTGTTATTTCTAGATGGTTACAAAACTAAAGTTCATTTTTAAAACCTGTAAAACTACTTATAATGAAATTGTTACTTCCCAAAAAAAAAGAAACCAACAACCCCTCCCTGTCCTGAATTATAATTAAAGATAGGTTTATTCTTAACATAATAATGAATGTAATAGCTAATTGTTAATAGTTCAAAGGGATTCTAATATAGAACTAAGCTTAATCTAAATGAACTATTCATTAATCAAAACAAGCACTATAATGAATAATAGGTTGCAAACATAATACTCGCAAGAGGAACACTCATAGAATCCATGGAGACTCCATTAGAATTGCATACATTATGAGAAAATATATACAATTTTCATGAGAAAACATTACAGCGTTGAAAATTTAAATAAAACTGGCTACCATACTACTAACCCCGGCTTCATTTAAATGTTGTATACTCATGCATAATACTCCAAAAACTAACCTTGCTGTGTCTTCATACAATGCACTCCAACTTTTCCGAGTTTTGCCCTGATGACTTTATCTGTTCCTGACAGATAAATATAACGATTACCAGCCAGCGTAACACCAGCTGATGTCAGAATATCTTGCTTATCGAATCCCTGAACCAATTTCGTTAGTTCATCTTTAGAAACCTAAGGAAATAAACATAAAGACAGAAATTCACTAATAAAAAGTCAAAACATGGAATGGAATTAATCCATTAAAACTACATTAATAGGGAAATTTACAAAATAAACATTACAGCAGTTAAACTTCATATAGATAACTAAAGGTTTCTAATTATCTGAACAATAGCAAGCAAACACAAGCATCTAACAATTAGGTTGGCAAGGACCAAGGCTTATAAAACTATCACTAAATAATATTAGATACACAATAAACCGATGATTGTTTTCAATTATAATCAACTATATTATTCAGCATGAAAATGCTAGGTAAAATAATCCTAGATGCTTTCTCGAACACTAATACAACTACGCCATTTTGCAATTCAATAGCCACGGCTCTAAAAGCTTTTACGGACAAAGTAAATATATTCCTTATAATAATCAAAAAAATGATAAGCCGCATTCAATAGATAGGAATGTGAAACAGTTAAAAGGCGGGCGCCGGTTGTAAGCAAGGATTAAACCTAAAACGAGAGCATGTAGGTTCTTACCTCAAATCCGTCTGATTTAGCCCAAATATTTCCATCGTGGCCAGCTATAGCTGCTTTAGTAACACACCTAGAGGCTAACAATTGCTTGTCCACATAATCCTGCCAGCTCATTTTGCACTAACCACTTAAATAACTTCGGTACCCTAAAGTAACGTCCAACGAGTCTGACCGTACACTACTGCAGCCGGATGTCTGATGAAATGAGTCAGATCCACCATAGAACATGAAGCATGCACGTCGATAAAAATTAATTCAAATATCAATTCAACAGTATCTGTTATATTTGAAATACTTTTTAAAATATTTCCAAACTGTTTTTAAATTTATTTTTAATTTATCAGCTTAATTAAGTACAAAAATGTTGTTTGTACAAGAACTACTTTTTAAGAGACGACTTGATACTAAGAAGTAGGTAGCAGCACCATCGCTATAGTTTGATTTTAAATTCTTATCAGAAATTAAATGTTGAAGATATGAAAGTCATGTTTTAGAAATTCTTAATTTTCTTAACATTTATTTAGCAATCATTTTGACCACATTACACATTATTAGTATATAATAAATTGTCTGTTCATTTTTTAATGTTTTCTCTTAAATCATCCCACTTCTACTTTCTTAATAGTTAAATTTAATTAATAATAATTTGGAGAAATTAATTGGCCCAGTAATTATCTTATTAAAAAATATAGCGAAATCACGTAATTGGCAATATTATTTTATAAATATATATAGTTATGATAAGAACTATCCTTCCTGTAGGCAAAACAAACTTTTAGAAATTATCCTCAATACAAAATGATTGCTATACATTTGCTGTATTTATTATTTGTTTCTTTAAAATATTAAGCTATCATTCCCATTTGACTATTAAGTAATGATTCTGAGAACCTTAAAAAAAAATATATTAATCAAAGAATTTCTTCATCAATAATAATTTTTGATACCTACTTTGATTATTGTATTGAAATGGCATGTATTTTTTTCTGATCCTAAATGGTATAGTATTGCTAAATTGGGCTGTGAGAAGCCAATATCTACCCCTGTTAATTTCTAAATAGCTCTGTGCAATGTGTATATATGTAAATACCAGTAGGAGTTTTAATGCTGTAAAGAAATGTAGAATATTTATTTTTAACTATAAATAAACCATTCATCAGTCTCTGGTTGTGTCAAACAAAATGTCAGTTTTGAAGGACTAATATCAATAGTTAATAAGTAGTAATCATTAATCAGAGCAGAACTTTGAAATATAATAGTATCTTAAAACTAATTTAAGTGTAAACATTTAGCCATTCACTTTATCTGATCAATGATATTTATTTTGAGTTTGATCATTCAAGACCTCTCAGGATTATGCAGTTCCTCTGTATTCTTCTGCTGGTTAATCTGCAACTTATTACCTCTTGAACATGGATTAGTTTCTATTAACAAGTTGTTAAAATTGACTATGTGCATACAGAGACTTACACAACTTCATTTCCTTTTAGACTTAAAAGAATAAAAAATTTTGAAATTAAATTATAGAAGCTAAAGGATCTTCTTTTGATTTGTCTAAAACTACATATTACATTTAATTATGGTTGTTCCTGTTTATAAATGTAAATGGATATCAAACTGAAATTCTATAGTGAATTTAATTTCATGCATGAGCAAGATGAAAAGAGGTGGAAGCATTTAATTCTATCAATAGTTCTGTTCTTTCTCCTTAGAATAATAAACAGATATTTTTGACTTGTTTTATAGTTGAAACAAGATTAAGAAAAAAAAAAAGAATAGAAATGAGGATAAAATAGACTGTAGACCATTACCATTAATTCTACTATATCAACGTAAATCTTATAAGACCACAGCTAGTAAATTACTAACTTCTTATTCACATTTCTTGATTATTAATCGATAACTTTGAGTTAATAAATAGATCTTATTTAAAAAAATTATGATATACATTTTTTAAGTTAAGATGCTTCAAATAAATTTTTAATTAACATTTTTTCTAAACCTCATAAGAAAAATATTATTAAGATAGTTTCCAGTAGTGGAATCTTTTAAATTTTAACATTCAAAGTTAATTTAGTTGTTCACAATCGAGAGATTTAATTAGTGGTCGTAGGCAACAGTTTTTTTAAAAAAATATATATATATATACAACTTTCATAATATGGTCATATCATTTAAAAAGCTATAATGACTACAAAAGACTAACAACCCTCTGTGGCTATAAATGATGCCAGAGGTATTAAGGGAAGGTGACAAATACCTCATAAACCGCAACCCAAGGGAGGCCTTGAATTGGAGAATTTTTATTTTTACAATATATAGTTTCAAATTATTTTGTGTATAATAATACAATTAACAACATTGCATTATTATATGATTCCTACAAGTTCAAATTTTCAGTAAGGGCCTAATAACTTGGCTGCTACACATAGGCGCCGACTACTAGAGGCTCACGAGGCTTGAGCACCCTCCCGCCAATGTCGCCATGGTGGAGGTTCAGCCCTCCAACAAATTGCTATAGTATGAACTTCATGTACATGTCAATCATGTCCATTACTAACGACTGTAGGAATCTACTAGCAGGTATAGCAATGAAATATTTGTTTAACGGTGTCCTATTGTGGGTTCATAAACACGCCATAACTGTAAAAGGAATTATCTATTAAAAGACTGTACTACTTTAGTTTAATATATTTTGTCACTTAACACATTTTTGTCATAAGGGCTTGAAACAACTCAATACCTACCTGAGATGGTACTTTTCATATAGGTAGATATATGTATATTGCATCTAGGCTAGTCATATATTCCAAAGAACATCTCCACCCTCGACCCTCTACCCTGTGATCCATAGTTTTGTCAGTGCCTATGCCTATGCTACAGCCCTCCAAAATTTTACTTACGCCACTTGGGATATAATTAATCTTCTTTTTTGACACTATATCTTCATATCACACTCTTTATAACTAGTTTATAGTAAAATGATCTGAAGTTAAGAGTGAAAGAAGATATTGATCCTCAAAACCTTATACTTCTTGGCTGTTATATCAACAAATGATTTGAGTCTTAAATAAATAATCATGCTGTATTTAAATTAAATTAAACTTCATGTAGTTAAAAGATCTTATATTAAAGAGAAGCTCAGTAACCAATATGACATCAAGGGTTATCAGTATTTACTTGTTTGATGCCCTCTTACTCTAAGATTGGACAGAAAGAGTAAGCTGTCTTAAAAGATAAATACCTTTTTTACTCAGAGAAATAACTGAGGTTCACTTCAGGAGCCTCTCGCAAAATTCTTTATCTCTTGAAGTAGACATACTTAAGTATTTAGCAAATTCGGTAACCCTAAATGAATGTGAATTATCAATCCACTGTTATATTAATATGAAGGGAGGTATCTAGTAACAATATATTATGCACCACTCCTACATCTTCTTCGGGCATTGATCATAATAGTCACCATATATTTTTCAGTTTCTTTCAAATTTGAGAACTTGTTTCCGTATTCTCATCATCGTCCTACGTTGAGTCAAAAATAGAGTGATATCAGTTACAGAAGATTATTATATTATAAAATCTTATTCAGGACTTGAAATAATATGCTCATCTTAGCAGTTATAATTTATTTTTCTTTATAACTTATAGTTTCTATTTTGAATTAGTTCAATCCTGTTAACTTACACATTTAATTAAATATTTGTTAATACTTACTGAATTTTTTTTTGGCATGAATCGAGTTGGCTTAACACAAATTCTTAATTTGGTTCATTATTTGCAGAGCTGCGATTTTAGTTAAAAGATTTTTTATGAAAAAAGTGAAATAGAATTAGACAGAAATCAGGATTAGAAATTTAATTGGGGGAAGTAACTAATCAATTTGACATTAAGGACTGATGATAAACCTTTTTTTTTAACTTGTATTACATTGTAAGAGGCAATCTTACAATACTTGAAGCTGGTTTGTGCTTCAAGTCAATATATTAAAGATCAAAAATGGAAAGTCTGGAATTGATCGTATTCTAAGTCTACAAACGTTAATATGTATCTGGATTAATATGTTTTACTCCATTTTACTTGGCCATATCTTACATGGAGGGGGGAATACTTCTTTAGAGGTATACCAATTTATTTCAACCAGAGGGAGGTAGAGATTTATTCTATAGATTACCACGAAATAAGTTACGACCCTCTCGGGCCGGATTTAAACCAGTGCCACTGGATTTAAGAATATTAAAGTGGGCAAAACATTAACAATTTAGCCATCATGACTTATCTGAATATAAAGCTTCCTATCATTCATTAAATATATTCCAAACAAACAGAAAGTAGGGGGATTTTGTAGCAAGGGCTATCCATAAGGGTTGGTGTATTTAATAATTTTGAAATTATAATTTGATGAATAAAATAGATCAACATATAAATGTTGCAGATATGTTTAAATTTTTAATAGTAAATATTAGCGAATACAATTTAATTTGATGTAGTATATTAAGATTTCATGATTGTTTTTATTCTAACCGGCTAATAAAGTAATACAAATAAATTTATTACATTATTAATTATATATTTCAACGATAAATTAAAACTTATGTGTCCCTTTTTAAAATAGATTCATCAGTTACCTTTAATTATGACTAGGCTCAATCAGTATTGGCACACAATGAGCAGCCTTAACATAATTTATTCAAATGTCATTAAACACTAAATAAATGCTAATCTATTTTTATTTTAATTAATATTTTAAAGTTTTTTAATTTTAAAATAAGAGAACTATGGGACAGAAAATATCACTCTAAGATTAAAAATTTATTTATAAATAAAAATGTCTGTACACGGTATTCGCTCCATATAAACCAAGTAGAAAATTAATTTAACTGAATAATTCTAAAAAATAAAATATCCACATTTCAATAATATAACTGGAGGGGAAGTTGAAAGGTTTATTTTAAGTAAAACCACTGTTTGTTGAGCTTCAGAATGGAAATTTAAGTCTTTATTTCCAAAAAGTGTCTCCTCAGTGTTGTGTGATTGATTTAATTTTCCTGTAAATACAAAATAAAAAATTACTTGCTTGATAATAGTTAAAGACAGGAAATATTATAGTAAAAATAAACAAACAGAGGTTTTAATTAGTCATAACAATTACAAATTTAATTGTTATTTTTTATTTAATCTAAGATACAAAATCTCAGTATGAACAAGCAAGATTTTACAAAACATTTTCGTCTAGATGTTTTTTGATTGAAATATCCTTTCCAAAAACCTATGATACATTTACCAAGGCAATGGAAAACAACATAAGTGTTTTTACACAAAAATAAAAATATGTGTATCTTAATATAGAAAAATGTTTTACTTTGATACATTCTATAATTCAATAATAGTAACAAACTGTGATACAATACAACAAAAAACCACTGCTTCATGAAAAAAACTCTTACTATACGAGGGAACAAAAAAAAAAAATTCATTATTACAGATGAAAATAATGATCAATTTAATATTTAATAATTAATAAAGATTAATTTAATTAACAGCAGGAAATGCCTTAAAGCAAGGCAATCATTCACACAATAATCTAATAGCTTATTAACTACGTAAAATACAGTAAGGATAGAAATTAAAGGAAAAAAATAGCTTTTAACACTTATTAAATAAGATCCAGTCAATAACTGGTATGTTTCTAGGTATCTACACTTAAGGGAAGTACAAGTGTAGAACCTAAACCCAGGGGAAAAGTCACTTCATATAATTTGAGAGCAGCCACTGGAATAGAGCAGACCAGAATGGTCAACAACACATCATAAGCAGACCGATATTACTAATTTAAGAATCGGAAAATCGCGCACGATCATAGGATAGTAGTCACGATCCGATACTCACACTGTTTTTATTAGTAACAATTTAAATGAGGTCGGCAACATTCATAGGCATTTCTTCAATACGGGTGTTGTAGAACTGTTCAATATCATTAAGAGAGCGTTTGTCCTCTTCTGTAACAAAATTAATCGCCACACCTTTACGACCAAATCGGCCACCTCTTCCAATCCTAAAATCAAACAGTATTCATTATTTTAACATTATAATTACATCATATTTACAGAAACAAAAAAATATTTTAGAATTAAAAATATTGTAACAACAATATTAATTAAAAATATATATAAAAAAAGGAACTTGATTTTTTAAATTTTAAATCTTAGGCTATTCTTGTTTTCCAATTTGCTTCATGTAGATCTCTGGTAATATGGTTTACTCATCCATTACAAATACTTTTTATCAGTTTCGGAAATGTCCTCTTGTTTACATACAGGAACTGTTATATCTTCTGCATAACAGAGGACCTTATGTTCCTTTCTAAAATGCATCTAATTTATTCTGATAACATGCTAATATTGTCTAGAAAGGCACTCTGTTAAAGAGCATGGAGGATAGTATCATTAAACTTTAGTTAAAGAAGCGGCGTAGCCAAGCGGATCAACACTGCAACTACGTGTTGCCCAATAACCTGATAAAACTGAAGATTACAAGTTCTGGCATTACACCCTCATCCTCTCACTGGCGCCGGAAAAACATCATATAGCCGAAAAGGCGAGAAAGAGAAGGAAAAAGAAAAATAACAGCAAAATGTATTTAGAGCGATTGTTAAGTTAAACTTTCTCTTATGGGGTGCATGACCACACTAGCCAGTGTGTTTACGTTCTACTCAATGAAAACATAATTATAGCACTACGAATTTCTTAAGAATACTGAATAAACTTTTAAAGAGTTATGAAAAAAAATTCCATCTTAACTTTTTTTTATTTGTTTTTAGTCATTCAAACAAATGACTAATTAATATAGGGAAAAAATCATTCATCATTAAGCAAAAACTTGGTTATTTAGACTTCAGGGACCTCAAACAAAATTTTTCACTATCACAGCACTTATAATAAACCTAGATAAGTTTAATAGATACAGAGATTAAATATGATACAGTGAAAAAAAATAAAAAATATATTTTTGAATTTAAGATTTCAATGCAAAAATATGCCTTTATTGTATAATAAATGTCATTGTATAATAAAAGACATATAAAATTGTAAAATATGTCATTATTTCACTGATTTTGGATGGAACAAAACCTGAACAACAGTAACTGAGCGGTAAGATATCAAATAAAAAATATTGAGAATCGAAGTAGGAAAACCCAAAACACGTTAAACTGATATAATTTGGAGAAAATTAATTATTGGATGAAAACATCTATGAGTTGTTTTCAAACTCGAAACAATTCTAGTGAATATAATCTTCCCCACTTGCAACTCTTAAAGAATGAAACGACTCATTTGACAAAACTAACTCTTTTAAAAAAATCCAGTCCCAAGATGTGTGGTTTGAGAATATTCTTGATTTCAATTATTTAATAGTTGGGTTAACGTGACTAAGGTAGGATAGTAAATGTAGGTAAATACGTTCAATATGGAGTACACATCATTTTCTCTGTTCATGTTACAGCTGAATGCTATATTATAATGTTTATTTCAACTAACAATAGTTACCCTGATCAATTGCACATCATTTATAACTATACAACCAATTCATTCTTCCTTTTTTAAAAATTATTTAAATTATAATAAGTTTTTTACTTCCGACATACCTATATATGTAATACACAGTAAATGAAATTATTGCGATTGTGAAAATTTTCAAATGCTGAGTTTTTAACGGAAATACATGTTTTGAAGTACCCTGATAACCAAGTCCCACCAAATAATCCGTGTCAAAAATGGAAATTCGTACAGAACTGAAATTGCGTATTTTAGGTTTTGACGTGCCACTTTATATAATCGATTTTACATATTTTAAAATTTTCTAAAAAATGGCTCTTGACAGTCAGTTTTATAAAAAACGGACAGTGTAAAATTAAGCGGTTTTTAATAGAATGTTTTCTCATTGATGTTCCCCAATAGGATTCGAATGCCTTATTTTCAAAATTTCTTCCTAAAGGATAATTTTTTTATTTGAAATAATTAACCATTTCACATTATCACGTGATATAAAAAATGGTTGAATGTAATCAATGAAGAACATTTATTGGTAACTAAAGGAGAAATAAAGGTTGGAAGCTATACGGAAACAGCTGAGAGCGTCCTACCTTTGCCGATTCTCTCCCTTTAAATATACTCAATATCCCTCTCTCGACAAGGCTATCATATTGTTGGTTTAACTTTTACATATCATTTATCCATAACTTTTTAAAAGGTTTGTAACGAAAAATGTTGAGAAGCTACTAATATAAACCTAATAATACCTAATCTTTTCTAATGTTGAGCAACTTTTTCAACGAGTTTCCGATAAAATTCAGAATTTTCTAAAAGATATATTTTTCCTCGCAATCATTAGTATTTTTTGATACTAAACACAGTTATAAAAGAAAATGGAAAGTGATGCTAACATATTAATTTAATGGTTCCATGGGAGGGAAAAACATGGTAATTAATTGTTGTAAATTAAGTTATACCGTAGTATATATGAAGATACCTATATACAATACAGTTGGTAAGTGAAATTTGTGTGATGCACGCACCACACCAGATTTTTTTTATTACAATCCTATTGAACAACAATTTTTAAAATACGATTACCTTAAATTTAGTTATCTTCCTTTAAAGAAATACACCAGACTTCATTAAAATTGTATTAATATCATCCATAGTCTAATTTGATGCAATCATATTTACTTCCAATTAATAAGCATGATAAGGATTGTTCTTGATAGAAAAGTTATAACAACAAAATAGGTTTTTCTGATTTAAAACAGTTGAGTTGATAGAAAAAAAGTTAAGCAAAGAAAGTAGCCACTCATGATGGTTACTTCTACAAATGACAATGAAATCCTTTATAGGCTAAGCAGCAATAATTAAGAGGTGCCATGTGAATATTAAAATATAATTTATAGCAACTAAATTCTTTAATACATATGCTAACAAGACGTTAGGAGTCAATCTAAAATTTTGGCGATCATAAGGTTCAGTAACCAATATAAAATCAAGATAATTATAAAATAGTGCTTATTGATACTTGAAACTCATTTTATATGTCAGTATTCAGTTTTTAAATCAATCCCTCTCACAGATCTTATTACAGCATAGAGAAGAGTACCACAGGTGGTGGATGTGCAGTGGAAATTCCTTGGAAGTTCCTCCCAGTCAAGTCCAATGGACTCGACTAACAAGGATGCTAGTAGTCCCCAGCCAGGCTTGGTAAATGTAGGATTGAACATCCTCCTCACATCTCTTTAATTCACAAAATACAACACTTATTAGTCATGGATCTCCCACGGGACGGGGCAGCCAAGCGGGCTAACGTGTGTATGCACAGTACCGCATGTAGTTCGGCAGTCTGATAACCGAAGTTATGAGATAAAAAAAATTGTTAATTCGCGCCCCATTGCCAAGGAGGTCTTTTAACTTGGCATTAATCCCTGCCCTCATCTCCTGGTCCGGGAAAACCTAGTATAGCCTAAATGAAGAAATGGATTCCCTAAAGATAAAACACTCATTAATAACCAAAAGAAGTTTACTAATATCCTGTTAGAGTCTCTATATGGGGACTGCTCTAGGGGATTCATGACACAAGCTGAATATTCAGAAAAAGGAGAGTAGAATATAAGAAGTTTTAATATAGCGTATAAGTTAAAATTGATCGCTAACAAGGATAAGGGGTAAAATTTAAATAAAAAGGTAATGCAATAAGTTCGCTGGCCAGGGGAAGGTTTGATAAAGGAAGATAAGTTAAATTATCTTTTATCATTAAAAATAATTTAAAAACCCATCAATTATAAGCTAGTAATTAAGAATAGATTTGAAGCTTTAGAATCTTCTGAGGATCAAGCTGATATAGACAAGTTATGAATAGGGATCAGGGATGTAATTTAAGAAGTCTATAACATGTCTTGGGAAAAAAAGAAAATAAAAGTCATTTAATTAAAAACTCTAAACAATCCTGGTGGATATAAAACAATCTTCTCTACTTATGGCTGTTATAGAATGAAATGACTAAATTGTTCAAAAAAAAAAAAAAAAGTAACTTAAAAATGAAATAATATAAACAGTAACTAATAGAATCGATAACGATGTAAGAGATAAGTACAATGCTGTAAACAAATTATGTAAATGTTTATGACTCATAACAACAAGAATATAAAGTACCTTAAAGAGACATTGACAATACTTTAAATATGATAAACAATGATCCGTCTCCATTTTTTGAGCACTGAACTATTGATAGATAAACCGAGTAAAGAGGAAGTTGAAATAGCTATTGGAAAATTAAAATCTTATAAAGAAGAAAGAACTAATAACATTCATGGTGAACTTAATAAAAGGAATTCTAGAATTTTTAAAATACATTTGATGGTTTAAAAAATCACGAGGAATCAATTATTGCCAGAAGAATAAAATATATTCTTATTCTAATCCTATAAAGAAAAAGTGATAACATCTTTAAAATTTTCATTTCATTTGTTTTTCCTTTTAAGTACCGTATTATTGGGAATGATAGTAAAACAAAAGTTAACATGTGCTGTACTACTGGTAAGCAAGAGAGGTAATAAAGGTGGGAAGATAGAACTAAGGCTGAAATGGCAAAATGGATTAGGATGGCAGCCACTGGAGAGAAATATGTAGACAATAATTAGTGGTAACGACATCGAACCTTTGGCTTTGGGTTAACTAAGTCTTATTACTATTTAAAATCCATAACACCCAGAGACATACCTTAATGAACAGAATATTATCTTTAAAGACAACAGTCAAGGGGACAAATCTGTAGAATCATTTTTCATTAACTGTTATGTGATTTCTGAAAAAACTTAGCATTTATACAGCTGTTTATAATTTAAAAAGAAGCTTACTTTAAGAGAACTTAAGGAAGTATCAAATTGTTTACATGTTATCTGAATAGATAGATGCATTTAATTATTGGCCTTATTTTCAAAAGTGTAAGAAGAAAAGAAGATAATTTAAACTATTATTAGATGAATGTACCGATAAATAAGAATTATTTCTGATTTGAAACTGACCAACGGCAATGAGCAGAACGCATGACACAATATAGATAGTAAAACCATGAGATGATGTTTTAAACTTCATGAGATGATGTTTTAAACTTAATGAATTAACAAATTTCGAACTACGCTAAAGTTTCCTGGACTTGAGAAAGACTTAAGAGGTATGAGAAATATACTCCTAAAATAATTTAAATAAATAAAATAATAAACTTAACATCACTATTATATCAGTAGTAAATATGGAAAATTATACCTGTGAATATAATTCTCTCTATTAGATGGAAGATCATAATTTATGACAAGAGAAACTTGTTGCACATCAATGCCTCTTGCCAAAAGGTCTGTAGTGATTAAAACTCTACTGGAACCAGTACGGAATTGTCTCATAATAATATCTCGTTCTCTTTGTTCCATATCACCGTGCTAAAATTCATAAGAACATATTGTGTTAGTATAATTAAGAAATTTCTAGAACAAATAAACCAAGGAGGTAATAAGCATTGAAGGGAAGTGACATTGAATATTAAGCAAAGTTGAATCATTCTATGGTCGGATTTAAAGCTAAAGAGTTCATTTATCATTAACTTTCAGAACTATCAGTTCTTCGATCAGAAAAAATTATTCAAGCATTAGATACAATTTATTGACAAAGGCTTAGGACCAGTGATACCGTGTGTGGCTAGCTAGGAGACCGGTGGTAATGAGAATTAAATAACTGTTATAACATATAACTGCAAGTTCCTGAACAGTTCTAATAACAGTATACTCGTAACTTTTTACTGCTACAAGAGGTAATTAAAAAAATCATATTGACAACTTCTAATCTATTTACATGTTAGGTGCTTTAATATGGGTTTGGTTGCGAAATTAGCAATTCCCTTTAATTTGGTATAGTATCCAGGACTATAAATTTTAATACAATTCCTTCTCACTTATCCTCACAAAGTCGTGAAGACTCCTGTGATATAATAACCACATCTTCTGGTGAAAACTTTTTTGAATTAGAATTCGTAGATGCTATTACCACTATAGTAAAAGGTGGTATTAAATATGTCTACAGTTTTCTGTTAATTATTATTATTCCATTACTTGAAATGGATTTAAAATCCTTTTGAGTAAACAATTTTTATTATGATTATGGTCTAGAGAGAGCACACAAGTGACATCACTGCCACTTGGTTAAATGTCACTAAAACAAAGTGTCTCTTCCAGATTGAAATAGAACAGCAACCATAAATATCAATTAATATGTAGGCACAGATATCTCCAAGAAACATCTAATGCAATCACTAAAAATAAAAAATAGGACCAACTTTTAAGCATATTGGTGTAGATGTTACATTTATCTGCAGTACATAACTGCATGTTGCATTTCCTAGACCGGGTAGCAGAGAAACTAATATATACTTATACAACAAAGTGAAAAAATAATAATAATTAGTGTTTATATTCAACTAAGTTTACACGTTTTTAACTGAATATTTTTTTTTAATTTTCTACCCATAACAAAAAAATTATTATAAATAAAAAACAGCCAAATACCTTTCACTTAAAGAAAATACTGTAAAGCAATAAAATGAGTAAAATTGTGTATAAATAGCTGTATCCAGAAAATTTGATTTATTAAATCTTTTATACCTCGAAGAAAAGATATAAAAAGATAACAAAACTAAAAAGCAATTGTTTTTCAAACCAACAAGAAGGTATTCGGAACAGAACAAATAGGGAATTTATAAAATAATACTGATGTTTTGAAATAAAATTTAAAAAACGAAATCACAGCTCTGATAAACCCATTTGGTTATGTTTTAATTATGCTTTCCATATTCTCCATACATCATATTACAAAACCTTAGGAAATTATTTTGATGAGACAGTGCAAATGGTTGATGCTTGGAGAATTTGACACAAAATGATTTAAGCTAGCTATTAATTTATCAAGTGAAATTACTTTATTCATTTATTGTTATTTATGTATATCCTAATCATTTACAAAACTTAACGCACATATTCTCAATTCTGGAATAAACAAAAAGTTGAGTAACTCCAATTTTGCTTAATATATTCTGATTATCCTGATGATTTGGATTAATCTCACCATATTTACTACGGGTAAAGTATCGCCAATAAGCTAAAAGGGTATGAAAAATTGAAATATTTCAAATATAAAGATTGAACACTATCTACAACAAGCAATACAGTGTGATTAGAAACTTTGTTTTGCTTTTGTGGAATTAGTTATTTAAGATTTATTTATGTTACAATTAAAAAACCTTAATAAGCACAGCTATTGTAATAATATAATTATTAAAAAGAGTATAATAGATACTAAAAAAATACTATAATAAATGAAAGAGCTAACACTTAGTTTAAAAGCACAATTATCAGTAGTATACTTACACAGACATAAAAAATAAATGTGCAAATCAATAACAATTGTTGATTATAAAACTGGTGGGTGGTTAATGAAATCACAATATAATGTGGCAGATAAAAGATATGGATGAGAAAACATTACTTTCTCTACAATAGATATTTACTGTTATTATCATATTTGATTATATGGATGTATTGAATTACCACATTAGACAGTTTTATCTTATTTTTATTTATCATGCTTGATTTGAGAGAAATATTGAATAACTTTAATCTTAAATAAACAGAAAAATCAATGACTAGATGTAAGTAGCTTTTAACAATTTCTTGTTGCAAGGGGAAAATATAACTTAACATGGTACTTTTACTAATTACTAATGCAGGGAGATATTATTAGAAAAATTAAATAAAAATTATTTGTGAGACTTATAGTTGTTAATATCCAAATACTATGGTGAGACATGTTATTTAGAGCTCAGCTTTAATTATTTCTTATAATGCACAAAATGATTATTTTTCAAAATTGTTCATTAAAATTTTGTTGATAAACAAAGGCTTAGTAAAAAAAATAAAGCAGCTAATTTATCACGGAACTAGCTTAACATTAATCTTAGTTTTTCCCAAATATTATTAAAAAATTCTTGTACATCCTTAAATAACAGCAAAATAATTCTCAAGATTTATCAACAATGATTCAATTGTATAAAACAACAGGCAAGAACACAACTCCATTATCATAAATTTGGCATCATGAAAACCTATTAATTATTCAAATAAATTACTATTTAGCACAAATCAAACACAATTATTGAATACTACCTCAATTAATTTTCAGAAACGAAATTTGGCATGGAGTGTTTTTAAAACTAATTAATATTAGACTTCTTTCATGGCTTGATATAAAAAATAAAAGCATTTATTAAAAATACTTGGATTAACTGTTTTCAGTAAGTTTAGAAAAAACTATTAATTAATTGGGTGGATTAAGAAAAATGTATGCTACATTAAAATCTACCAAGATTAGATCTCTTACCCCTTGAAAAATAGCTGACACTTAAATAACATCAATAAATCTTAATATTTGTATATGACAATTAATTTCTCCTCTAGACTTCAATAAAATATTTAAGTATAACAAAAATGTAATTTAAAAATGTTGTAATTTGGTTTTTAAAATGATTTACTAATTTAAATGATGATCTTAAAATAATAAATTATTCTACTAATTAAAACAATTAGTCTTACCATAGCAGAAACAGTGAAGTCTCTATTATGCATACTCTCAGTCAACCAATCAACCTTGCGCCTTGTATTACAAAAAATTACAGCTTGAGTAATACTTAGTGTTTCATACAAATCACAGAGAGTATCCAACTTCCACTCTTCTCTCTCAACAAAAACAAAAAACTGTTTGATACCTAAAAAAAATACAATATGGGCATAAATAATAAGGAAATTTGGAAAATTTATATAATATAAAAAAAAAAAAATTTGAACATGTTGGCATAAATAATACAAGTTATCCACAATTATTAAAAAGAGGAGACAAATGTTTGTTCTCCTAGAAGAGTTATATAACTGGTTAAGTAATCAGTATTAAGAAGAATTAAATTACTATGTGATCTTGTTTGTACCTTCCAAGGTAAGTTCTTCTTTTTTAACTAAGATACGAATAGGATTCCTCATGAAGCATGTACTGACCTCCAATACATCTGATGGCATAGTAGCTGAAAGCAATATAACCTAAAACATAAATTCAAGATTAGCTGCTTATCGAAACTAGGATTTTTTCAATCCCAACCATAAAAATGATATATTAAATATTAGCATTAAAACATCAAACAGATATCATTATTTAAGAAAGAGTGAGTCTCTGAACATACCTGTACTTCATGATTTAAATTTTTAAATACATCATGGATCTGATCTTTGAAACCACGAGAAAGCATCTCATCAGCTTCATCCAACACAAAAATTCTAATGGTGTTAGTTTCTAACAAATAAGAAAAATAATTAAACTAAAGTAAAAGTTCAACATATAAAACCATGTTACAACAGTAGATATTTATTAATTACTTAGAGCTCTGCGGCTAATCATATCCAAAACTCGTCCGGGAGTTCCAACCAAAACATGAACACCCATTTCTAGTTTGCGCATGTCTTCTCTAACATTTGTACCACCAATGCATGCATGGCACATGGCCCCCATAAAATCTCCCAGGGCTATGACTACTTTCTGGATCTGTTAACAAATAACAATAGATCATTACAACTACAAGCATTAAAATTCAATAATAGAGTATAAAATATTCACAACTGACTAAATAAATTAGTTCTCTTAGACTTACATAATTAAGAAATGCACAAATTGTCGTACCTCAACTATAACATTACTCCAAAACTAATAAAATAATCAATAATGTGAAAGGGGAAGAGAATATGTAAATTGAAAGGAAAAAATATATCTGTTTATATAACTGCATACTCAACATATTAACAAAGAAAATGAAATATACCTGTTGGGCCAATTCACGAGTTGGGGCCAAAATCAAGGCCTGGCATTCTCTTGCACTAGTGTCAATTTGTTGTAATATTGAAATGGAAAATGTAGCTGTTTTACCAGTACCTGAAATGAACCAAATTAACTATCAATTCCAATCGTCTAACAATAACTTACAAAATGATTATTGCACATAACTTGAAAAAATTCTTGAAATATAACTTCACCATACACCCAGTAAAAACAAGAAAAAAATGGAAAACAATAATTACGTTTAAACACACATGGCTAACTGAATGAATGTATGAATGAAAGTAACAATTCATTTTTTTCAAATAGAAACAAGATTAAAAATCTAGAAATGAGAATTGTACAAACCTGACTGAGCTTGGGCAATAACATCATGACCCCTAACACAAGGGATAATTGCCCGTTGTTGTATAGCAGAAGGTTTTTCAAAACCATAAGCATAAATACCTCTCAGAAGTTCTTCTTTAAGGTTCATATCATCAAAATTGTCCACCACCTACAAATAAGAAACACCATATTAAGCAATAGTAATAGATATAATAATAGCCATATTAACTTGCATAAATAAATATTGCTTACCTCGTCCCAGTTGGACTCGATGATTCCTTCAGGGTCCATACCGGGTGGACCATCATAAGAATGTTCTTTGTCGCTTGGCCCATTTTTAGACTCTCCTACCCAATCCTCATTCCTAACAAGCAATTATAATACATCATTACTATATACAATAAACTAGACTAATGCTCAAAAAAACAGTCACAATCAAATAAGATAGTGAAAAAAGCTTTCTTGACCATACTGCAAATATTAGATTTGTACAGCACAACAATAATACATAACAATAACTGCAACATGAATTACAAAAAATATTTATGGAAAGCGTTATAGTACTAAAAACAAAAAAATTTAAAAACTATTCATATGCTAAAAGATGGTGTGAAATTCAAGGCTATGGGACTGATACAAATATAACCTGTATGGTACAAGAAAAGTTAATTCTAATAAAAATATTATATCCAGAAAATATTCTCTCATCAACCAGCACTAATAATTTTGTAAAGAAACACATAGTATCACTTGTAAACACTAAAGCCAAACAAATAGAGGCTTAATAATTGTAAACCACGCCATGTTGGCACAGCATTGAACATTCACGAACTCCAGAATTTAGAGAAAAATAAACGTTTATTAACAATCACTGGTTTAAAACTGTTAAAAACAACTCCTAAGATCAATAACACAACAACGAAAAACACTACGGAAAGGTAAATTATAAAAATCACCTTTTGTCAGACGACGTTACCGACATGTTCCACTCAAGTATTTGCTATGGAAAGGACTAAGACAGGAAGAACTGTGGTTCTTGTACCCATGCGCGCAAATTATATTTAAATTTGTAAACGAGCATTTTAATCAAGAAAAACCAATAAAAATTTAATCACATGACGAGACGAAAGAAATAACCGAATGAAGTAAGGAAATTTCTACTGAAATTACTATTTCACTCACATGACAGCTTTTCTTTCTGTAGATCATAATGGTCTAAGGCGGGAATATGATTCATTTTAAATATGACTAGTACTTATAATTTTTTTCAAATATTCATTACGTGTTTATAATACTTTTACCACTTTCGATAGTCTATAAACTACGTAGAGTTAACTATTTTTTAATTCTACTAGGTTCATATGCCCAATAATGCAAATATTTTCTGTAATTAAATTAATATTTTCAGTATAGCATTACCAGATGGAATTCAGTTTTATTTTAATATATTATTTTGCGGAATTAAAAATTTAATAAAATATGAAATGTTTTAAATTTCTACAATTGATAAACATCTAATCAATCAGTGGTACAATTAGCTCTACATCACGATTTATATTTATTAAGAGTTGCGAAATATATCATTTTTATGTTAAAAACATTCACGCCGTAGACTTAATGGAAACATTCCTATAACATTTTTATTTATTAATAACTTTTAAATTCAATAAAAGAATAGTCAATACTAATACTTGTAAGAACAAAAAAAATTAATAAGTATTTTGCTATCTCAAAAGTCTACTTCATAATAATGTAATAGCAATATCACAGAATTTAATTTTTAGCAAAATCGTTCCTAATGTTAAATTCAATATGGAATGTTTCAAATAAGTCTAGGGAGTGAATGATTTTAACAAAATGAAATCTGGAATCAGGTGATCCATTTTTTTTCTAAATCATAAAGTAATTAAGTACGTTTCAGCAGTAGTAAATGGTAGAAATAAGTATGAATGATAATGGGGAATTTATAACAGTTACAATGCATACATAATAAAAGAATATGCTTATTGTAGAACGTAATTATACCTTTATCGTGTTTTGTTTCAGAATTGTTTTATCAAAATTTTTGGATACTTTTTCAACGAATATTTTCTCAAAATCATTTTGAAAACTTAATAAAACTGTTTTAAAATAAAAACGATTGGTTGATAAGAATTTTGTTTATTCATGAATTAAATTGGTGGATTGTTATATTTATAATAAAATCTTCTTTTTGTAAAATTGCATCGATAAAAGTCACAAGGCTGAATAAGCTTAATCATGAATTAGACTTAATCTAATTAGTCTAAATTGAATAAATATGGGACAGTTTTAACTCCATTGAAAAAGTGTTAAGCACATGAGGGTGTTAGCATGTATGCAATCAATAGGTTGTCCATGAAGAACTTAATTATTGGTGGAACATATTCAGCATTGTAAATTAAACTAACAACTGTTTCTTCATATAAAATCCTCCTATAATTATATATAATTTAATCTTTTTTTGCATTTGATAGTTTTTATTAGCTTTCTTTAAGACACCAGAAATTAATGAAAAGTACCTAATTTAATAAATATGATTATAATAATTGTGAAAATTTCGGTATCTTATAGTAAATGCTTCCAAATAAAACATTTATTTAGGAAACGCAGTTATTTCAGCAAAGATAGGGACCATGCAGGTATAAGGGATAGGAACCATTTACCTGCTTTTTGAAAGGCCATGAATAGAACTATGGGCCATTGTTCAATGCCCTTTTCCATAACTTTTTCGAAAGAGAGAACAACTAACAACTATTACCATGCCTATATTGCTAGCTATACTGGTCCAACTATGTATTATAGTTATCTTCAATTTGCATAGAAAATTAGATCTTTTTTTTGTTTTGTTTTTTTATAACATAGCCCACATTTTAAACTAAGGAACTTACAAATTCTATGGTTGTAATATAAATGGGAGGTGACAGCTATATTTTGGTTCATTATTAATAAATGACTAATTTCCTAAATAAACATATTTTTTAAAAGAATAGGAAAATTAAAAAAAAAAAAAACCTGTACCACTAACAACCCATGAAGGGTCATGAGTTCAGTACAATGCACAGGGGGATCTACAGAGGGAGGAGGGGGGTTTTCGGGTGAAGCTCCCTCCCCCTCCAAAAAATGGTAAAATAAAACCACGTTTTACTGAAAAAAATATTAAAAACTATCTCTTAAAGTATTCTTGTTCTTGTAATTGCATTTAATAGGACTTCAAGAAACACTTAAACAACATTTCATAAAGGTAGTTAATTTCTTTCTTTTTTTTCAAATTAATTATCGTTGTATGTATATGAGTAAAAAAAATCTTTCCGGCTGAAGCCCCCAAAACTAAATCCTGGATCCGCTAGAGGTACAATGTGAGGCAATACTGTCACTAGGCCAACAGTTGTGCAGGTCCAATATCACGCTTAACCGGCACATTTTCCCCCTTAATTAATTATTTAATTAAGAGTAACAGCTTTATATAGGCTGGGTTTGGTCCAAGAGGGGTCTCCCGGCCATAGGGTCAATCCACGGTTAATGAAAAATTACTAGTCATCAGCCGGATTCGAACCTGGGACCCTGATCTCTGGTTGGAGTTAAATTATCTAAATCGAGGACGACCCAGAATCACCTCGATGGAAGGAGTCCAAGAGATTACAGTCCGAGGTCTACAGGAGGGAGACTGGGAAGATAGAGATGCGTGGAGCTCGGCTCTGACCTGAAGAGTTATCCCACGTAGGAACACCGTAAATATATAAGTAAGATTAGGATCTGGACTCAAAGCAATAATTAATGACTGTTTTAGGGGCGGGGTGGCCGAATGGGCTAAAGAGAGTGCACAGCACCGCGAGTTGCCTGGCAACCCCATAACAGATTTGAGAAAATTTATAAGTACGAGTTCGCGTACCGGTGCCGGAGTGGATTTTAAATTCCCCACTCTCACTCCCCGGCCCGGGAAAATCCCGTTTAGCCTAAAAGGCGAGATAGGGAAGAACAAATAAAAAATTAATGGCTGTTCAATCTTGATGTCAAGTTATTGATTAAAAGTAATATTACTCAAAACCAATAGTAAAAGAGAAGAAGCTGATAATACAGGACTCTACTCTACTAATATTTATATAATCAGAAATTATCATGTTCATGTCATCCTCTGTTACTAAATAAATAAAAAAAGTGTAATGAAGTTTTTTCAGTAGAACTTTCCATTCCTTTAAAAGTTACTGATGTTAATGATATTTGAACATGAATTTGGACTTGTATATAAAATTTAAATTGCTAGCTAATACATTGAAGGAAGTTAGTCGGCTGTTATACATATTATGGGTAATAAATATTTAGGACGCAGACTTTATTTAAAAAAAAAAAATAATTTTTTATTTATGCCAACGTTTCAATCCAAACAGGTGGGTCATCTTCAGGGCGTGGTTTGAGCACTGACGGTGTTCAAGTACTCAGTACCAGTACTTGAACACCCTAAAAAAAATATCTTGAAACGCCGGTATCCCATCCTAGATTCTAATCAAACAATCCAAGACCACCAATTTGGATTTCGTACATCTCATTCCACTATTCAGTAATATCATCGTGTGGTAGACATAGTCTCCTTTGCATTGGCGAGCGGAGTGTATTGCAAGGGAGTCTTTCTCGACGTTAAACAGACGTTTGATAGAGTCTGGCATTCAGAACTGATGTACAAACTCCGTAAATTCCTATCACCTACATACTCCCTCATTATCAGTTTCTACCTTACTGACAGATACTTCAAAGTAAATCATAATAATGCTTATTCATCAAAACACCTCTAAATCTTGAGAAGTTGAAAAAAAGTAGAGTTGTTTGATTTTTTAAGAGACTGTGTCAATAGAATTCCGTGACCACCCCTAAAAAATGATACAATTGCTAAAAGGAAATGGGAGAAAAATAAGATTACGCTTAGAACTGATGCTTAAAACATTATTGGAACTAGACTGTGCAGAAGTAAAAATTGCTGGTTTATTCAAGAATGTGAGAATACCCTTCGAGAATGAATATGCTCAATCGAACAAAGAGAGCAGCCACGGAGCCTGTTGCGATTCTTGCTTTTATTTTCACTGTGGTGTCACTTTCTTAAAAGTGTGGTAGAGCTGTTGGGCGCGATCCTGTCCTTGTTCTTCACTTTTTGAGGATACCATATTATTTTTTAAATTTCTTTATCTTAAGAACAAAGTTTTTTGTAGCGTCTTCGAATGCTTATGAAGATCCTAATAATGCGGCTTTGAATTTTTAAGATATTACCACCATATTACCATTAACATACACCAAAGGTTTTGGGAGCCTATTATATATTGTTCCTAATGGATTCGTCTTAATTGCTATTAAGTCAATACAATATTAAATAATACATGGGAGAGAGAATCTCATTGGAGTAAACTATTCTCTACATCAAATTCTTATGATAAAGTGTTTTCTATCTCTACCCTTCAAGGGAAATGGCACTCAATCCTGCTAGCTCTTCAAAACTCCAAGTGCTTTTATGACTTTAAGTACTTCATTCCTATTGAGGCTATCCTAAGATTTGTGAAAATAAATGAATAGGTGATGGAGATCAATGTTACATTCATATTCTTTCTCCAGCATTTGTCGAACGAAGAAACTATCGTCTATTGTGCTACTTCCTTGGTAGTACTTCTTTGGTATTCAACAATATTTCTTTCTGCCCATGCCATAATTCTTCTGTTAATTGCAACTAAGAGACCTTGCAGACCGTGGATAGAAGAGCAATACCTCGATAGTTTTGAGACATTAACTAATCTTCCTTCTCATGTACTGGGTACACAATTACCACATTATAATCCTCTAGTACCCTCATTGCCGCCCGGATATCAAATATAAGACAGTATGTCTCCTTCACTGGTGCCTCACCATCTTTCCGACTTTTTAAAATTTATTTATTTACATTCCTGCAGTGCCTGAAAGGCAATGCGGGTTTTAGCAGCAGTGAGATGTTAAGCGTTTCTGCGTAACAACACACTGCTGCTAGAAAAACAATATTTTAATGTTATAAGCTGGGTCCATATGTCGATTACATATCTTCTTCTAG